CATAGGGCCTGGTACATTGTAGGTAAGAGTGAATATGTGAAGAATTAGGTAACTTCTGGTCTGAAGGAAACATTGTATTTCTTGTCATAGGAGCCTTTGGAAATTATTTTTAGAGTATTAAAGTGCCATATGTCTATGAAAATGATCAGTGTAAGACCATTTCCTCAGACTTGATAAATACTTGAAAGAATAAGTTTTAGAGAAATCTTACAATTAGTTTGCGGTCTTTAGCCAAGAAAGAGCATCCAGAAGTCCTGCACTGCGGCTCTCAGCCACGTGCAGTATCGTCCCTGTCTCGTGGAACCTGGCAATGCTGCGTAGTGCTGTGTGGGCGGGAGTTGTTTCTATAGTCTCTTTTCTTGTTGTGAAGCGAAAGTGTATCTGACTTCTGTTTTTGTGTTAGGTTTGTTCGTTGTTATTGCTATTACTTTTCTCTTACAACCCGCCCAAACAACATTGCTACAGTGCAAAGACTTATTTTAACTTGATTGAATATGAGTGTGAACTGAACATAAGGAAAAAATTGTACACAATTGAAAAAGCCATAAAACTGGGTGGTGTATGCTGATACTTAAAAAAAAATAAGTCTCTTCTATAAAGTGTTTTAGAATTCAGGCAGACAGTTCTATCCTGAGTTGGGCACAGCAGCTGTGACAGATATCCAAAAATATGGAAAATAAAAAATATTACGCTTGTAGACTTCTATGAGAGAGAATGAACACAGGGCCAGGGAGCGGGTGTGGGCTAGGAGTTTCTTCGAATCAGAGTATGGATATGTTGGAAGAAAATATCGGGGCTCAGCTAGAGCAACATGGGACAGTGGACTGGACCGTGCTCCCACCTCCCTCCATCTCTTCCCTCCATCCCTCTTGCGTCTCGTGGTGCTGACCCTGACTTGCTCCAGCCGACTGACTGCGTGGTCAGAGAGAGGAAAGTCAGCTAGTGATGCCATGGCCATCTGCACTGTAGTAGCTGACATGCTTGCTAAGCATGTGGAGTCCTTTGCCCAGGCGCTGTGAGAATGAGGCCTGGGATGCAGACGTTGGTGAATCCCCATGTGCACTGAGGCCTGTTAGTGTTTGAAAATTGTTCATTTGGTCTCTCTGGCTTTCAAGTTCCCAATTTGTTTGCTTGGGAGCAAAGCTCACTTTCCTTTTCTGAGTCAGGAAAGCTGTGGGGAATCCTTTGGGTAATGTTTTGGCTTCACCTAGTACCCTCTCCTTGTGCGCCACTTTAAAGATGGACAGTGAAAAGGCCTTGTCTCTGCTCTGCCTCCCCTGCCCTGACACCTTGGAACCCGGGTCTCCATTATCTGGGCGAGTCTGGTCCTGTGGGTGAGCCTTAGGTGTGTACAATGCTAGTGGCAAGCATAAGGTATCTGTGACCTTTCTCTTTCTTTAAAAACGTATATGTATTAATTAATATTATATATAGAATATTAACTATTTTAATATTTCAATATAAATTAATTAATACATATATATTTAAAAATTTTTATTTGAAAGAGGAGGAGAGACAGAGAGGAAGATCTTCAACCCATTGATTCACTCTTCAAATGGCTAGAGCTGAAGCACAGGAGCCCGGAGCCTCTTCTGGGTCTCCTACATGGGTGCAGGGTCCCAAGGCTTTGGGCCGTCCTCGACTGCTTTCCCAGGCCACAGGCAGGGAGCTGGATGGGAACTGGCGTCCATATGGGATCCCGGTGCATTCAAGGCGAGGACTTTAGCCACTAGGCTACTGCGCTGGGCCCTGTGACCTTTATCTTTCTAAAAGAAGTCTTTCTCTTTCAAAGAAATGTGTTTCTTGGAAATCTGGGCATGTCAGACTAAATGTGCCAAGCTGGATTTCAGCGGGAAGTGCTTGACAGGCCTTTTCAGTTATAGAACCTGGCCGTACATCTGCCTGCTTGACTGCTGAACCTGTTTACCCACTGAAATGTTTTTCTGATTGACTTAATGGAGCTAAGGAAGTCTGCTGCTCTTGGAATTACTTTGTTTAAAATGCTTTAGCCTAAATACAGACACCTTTATCATTTACATTTGTGTCTATCCTCCTGAAGTCTCCTGTTCATTGCATTTCTGATTGTTGCTCCCACAAACCTGTTTACAGCTTCTCATTGCTTTTCCCCCTCCTCATTGCTCTCTTAATGGAACCTCTTACAAAGCGAGGTGGCCCAGGTAGTGCAGGTGGCCTAGGATGTCGGAGGCTGGTTGCCAGGGCTCCCAGTGATTCCCACTGATGTTTCCTGTGTTTTTAAACACAGAGGACTAGACCAAAACTGATGGCAGGGGTGGAGATAAGTGTCTTAGAGCTCGCTTGGAGAGATTTCGGCTGGCAGGGAGTACAGTCAGCTGCTGGTCCATCAGTGTTCATATGCAGATCCCTCTTTGCAGAGAGCTGCAGCCGGAAGTCCAGCATGGTGGGTTTGAGGCCTGGCCCTTTCTGCCGGTGCTGTCCTTCCCTCTGGCGCTGTGTGTGTGTCCTGTTGGACTGGCCAAGGAGCTGCCTCACGATCTATGACTCCTGCTGTCTGCAGGCGTTCCCTGCCCACTCTGGCTTCTCCCTCTCTTTGGCTCTTCATCTTTCCCAAGTGTGGCTCCCCTCAGCTTTTGCACTTCAAATACTATCTGTGTTATTGCTTCTTAAAAGGCCTGAACTGACTCAGCTTCATCCACAGATGCCATCCCATGTCTTAGTCTGGGAACCCAGAAAAAGGAGCTTGCTGAATTTTTGGTTCCATTCTCCTAGCTATGCAAATCATTAGGATTTCTGTTTATTGTCCCATTCCGTCTCCTGTAGTGCGCTTAGGTGCCATAAAAAAAGAGGCAAAGGCATGAGACTGTCAAGCACAAACTTTATTTCTGTATAGTCTTTCCAGGACCCTGGGCTGGGAAACGGGGAAACCTCGGGAGCAATCTCCTCTCCTTGCTTTTTTCCCCTAGAAGGAGGCCGTGAGGTTAGCTACTGGGACCACTTTCCTTCACCTCTTAGCATTCTGGTGAGGGGTGGGGCAGCAAGGAGGATAAGGGCTCTTGTCCCCTAGTTAATCCCAAGAAGGTCCCTCTCCGCACTCCTCGGTTTCTGTGGTCATTTTTTAAGTCTAAGATACACAGCACATCTCCTGCCAGAGAAGAACTGAGGAGGAAGCAGCAACTGGCACAACACAAATATCACAAGGGCTGGAGTTCACATTTTGGATGTAACATAACAAAGATGTTGTCTCACATTTGTTATCACTGGGCAATGCATCAAGGACTCACGCTGGAGAGAGAAACACAGGATAACATTTCTGTAATAAGATTGAGACCCATGCACAGCACAGATCCTGGTGTTCTTCACAAGCAGGGGCTGAGAACATTTGTATAAGTTAAATGGACACCAAGCGGGCCAGAGGGGGACTTGCGGGCACTCTCGAAACAGCCTGTGACCATCCCACACTTGTTCTTATTAGGCACAGTGACAATGCTGTTCGGCCACATCCCCTCAGGTCTCCTGGAGTGACTGCCTTTGGCAAGGCCTCAGCAAACTTGAAGGCAAAGGCCAAGATCCCAGCCTTTGGCCCACTACCTGTGGTGAGCGTGGGTTCTTAGAATCCTGTGGGGGATCTGCATCTCGGATGCCAGCATGCCTGCTGGGCAGGCTCGGTCCACTGGAATTGGTGATTCAGCAATGGCGACTATGGTCAGTTGCTTAAGCGCTGAAGGAACTCTGTCCCTGGCTCAGGGTCAAGTCCAGAGCAGGTACGCAGTAAACTTTGCAGGATTCCATCTCATGCTTCTCCTCTGTAGGCAGGACCTTTCAACCCCTGGACACTTTCTTCCTAGTCCTGTTGGTTCTTTACATGGTGTGATCCTCCCAAACGCTTTGGGAACTGACTGCTGCTGCCCCTACATTTTTCCTTCCATTTATGTGTCTACTTTAGTAAGCTCAGTTTAACATTCTGCATGCTGCTTTGTAGCATACAGTGCTCAGTGTTGTTTGTTTTGCTTGTCCTGTTGCTAGACAACCTCCATAAGCCTGCTGCTACTTGGGAGGGTCAGAGCCAGCAGGGCTGGTGGTTTCATGTGGGTAGCATTGTTCTGTCCTCATGGGAGATATAATATATATACATCCATGTGTTCAGACCACAAGGAAGATACAAATCTGCTTCCAACCAACATCTGGATAAAGGACAGATGAGGGAGACGGAAACTACATCCCCAGTGCTGGAAACTCCATCCCAGTTAGACTGGACTGTCCTTTAGGGCAGATGGCCTCCTGTCTACCAAGAGAGGATGACCCAACAAAGCCATAAGGCAGAAATGAAAGTTTCAGAATCTGAAGAGGAGATACAAAATACTGTGTTCTCACAAGCACAGTGGAGGGGTGCAGCCTCCTTGTACAACTCGATCTGAACAAGCCTCATGCTAGTAGCACGGTGAGGGTCTGGCTTAGTTCATCTGCTGTAAGATATCCAGAAGGCCAGAACAGGTTGGCCACATGCTTTTGCTGCATTCTGGTGTGCTCCAGCTGTGTTCAGCCTGTGGAAGCCTGGTAGAGAGAAGCAGATGTCCTCTGTTCTGTTAAAGGCTGGGACTTTACAGGAGATGAAATGTGCTCCAGAACCTCTGGGGAAATCAGAGGACATCTGAGCTGGATGTTTATACCTTCTACAGGAGCCTGTTCTGAGACCACCTTGGGGTGTGCGTGTGTGTGAAGTAAGCAAAACACTCATTTGATCATTGAGATTTGGGGTACCTGGGTCAACCCCATAGTTGTTCAAATAAGGAAAGAGTCTTAGCAAGTCTTAGCCCAGCCTTGGTCTCCTGACTCTGGAAGCGGTACACTGCTTCTGCCGCATCAAGGTTCAGGGGGACCAGAGAGGATGTAAGGCAGAAGCCAGGGCGCTCAGACCTGTGAGCATTCAGTGAAGATGCCTCTTCTCACAGATGCTTACAAGATTAACTTACAGCTCTCATTCAGAGTTTGTGTAACACTCTTTTGTCCATTCTGTCTAGCAGAAGGCTGCTGTTACGAGAGCTCCCAGCTGAAAGAGGCTGATCTGAGCATGATCAAGGATGACTCCTGGAACCAAGACAAGGGCCCCACGCAAATGGGTGAGTAGGATCTATTGAGATCTTTTGGAATTCATTTGGGAATAAGTACCCACATGCAACTGAAGTCAGTTCTTGGTGCTGGAATGGACTGCAGGGGAAGCTTGTCCAACATTCTCATCTTGGAGAAGTTCATGGGTTTGCCTTGATCACACAGCTTGTATGTTAGGGAGTGAGGGCAAAAGTCAGGAAAAAAAATCCAGGTTGATTCAAGATGGATTATTTTCCCTACACCAGTTGCATCCTTTCCCCAGGTTCCAATATTAGGGTGCTTTGGAGGGTCTGCAGCTCAGGGAGGTACATCCATGGGTGAATGAAGCAGAATGAAGGTGGTGGTGGCTGTCCCTGATGAAGCGCCTGGGGTCTAGGACAGCATGTTGGAGTAGAAGCTGAAGCTCTCAGTCATAGTCTTGGAGTTGCTGCGAGAAGACCCATTGGAGGTCAGATCAAGGGATGAGGGAGTAGCCTTGGTGCCTTCATCTGCCTCTTCCTCATGGGTCCCCACCACTGTGGAGATAGTGGTCTCCAGGCGACTGACTTTATACACGCTGCCCTGGGTCTGCAGGTACCGGGTGGACTTCATTTCAAGACCTTCATAGTCTCCGGCACTGATGAAGGGGCAGCACCGGAAGGCATGCTTGAAGCCCAGGCGGAACCTGGAGAGAGAGCAGACACAGAGGTGACTCTTGGGGAGCAGATGCTTTCAGGGATGTGTCAGCTTTTTAACTCATAGAAACAATCAAGCAGGTCTCTGTGTTGTTAGGGTCTCCAGCTTTCAGTTATTTTTTAACTGAGACCAAAAAAGTTAGATGATTAAGGTCAACTCCAGGACTAGGATCCAAGCTCATGTCAAGTGCAAGTTTTTACTGAGGGTGGCTCATGGTCCATGCTGTGGGATCAGCAGCCTTTTGGTCAATTGGCAACAACAAACATCATTCACCAAGTATTTACTAGATGCCTGGTACAGTGCTCATTACCCGGCTGTAAAACACCTCGAGACCAAGTCCTTTCTGCCAGGAGCCCAGGGACTGCAGGGAGACTTCTGGCTGGCCATGTCCCTGCAGCATGCCTCACTGTCCTTGTTTAACAGGGAAATCAGTCTTTATTTACTTAAAGCTGTGCGGGGAGATTAACCCAAACTCCTAAGGCCATCAAGTACTCTGAAGGAAGACAGACAAATTGTTGAGTTAGAAAAAGGCCATTTGAGCGAGCTCAAGAGGATGACTTTCCCCACATAGTGCTTCATTCTCACAATGTTCTTTACAGGCTGTTGAGCAACAGTGTAACAGATAACCACCCTACTTCGCCTCCAGAGGACAGGAGATGACTGGGGTAGTACCTGCAGCCATCCCACTGCAGCGGCCAGCCTGGCCAGGTGAGTAGCTGGGCTATTATGTCTCCACTGAGATGGCAGGCCAGGCTGGGGGATGGCTGGGTCGGCCAGGGTGCTAGCGCCTATGTCCCCTCCAAGTCCTGGAGGCCTCCCAGGAAGCCCTGCTGTTCTCAGGTTGACTCTCCATCTCACTGATGGCCTTTGGCATGGGGCCCAGTGGAAGGGGCATGCTTTCCTGCCCAGTTGGTTTTGGGGCACTTGGGATCTCCCATCACAGGAACCAGTGCCCATGGGGTCACTGCCTTTGCAGGGCGCTGTTCAGAAGAGAACATATGTAATGCACACAAGTGATAAGTCAAGTCTGTCTACTCCAGTGAAACAAGCAAAGACCTTAACACCTCTCCAAAAGGCAAAAAGAATCCAGCAACTTCTCAGAGTACTGAGGACCATATAGGCTGGCAACACAGTTCCATCATACTGGTTCTCTGTAGACCCGGGGTGTGCTAGGCAGGACAGACCCCATAGGCCCTGGTCCTTTGATGGGAGATATTAAGGCAGCAAAAGCCAAGCAGACATGAAAGCATAGGCGACTGTATGCTGAGAAAGGCAGGAATTCCTGCAAGGCTCAGGACCTTGGGACAGTCACTTAGCATGGCAAGGCCAGCACTGGCTCTCTGCTCAAGGTCTGGGAAAAGCAGAGAGGATAGCCCAGGTCCATGGTCCTGGGGGACCTAGAAGGGGTACCTGACTTCAGCCTGGCATTGTGGCCATCTGCAGAGCCAAGCAGCAGATTGAAGGTTAGGGTTGCAGAGAGAGATCTAATAAATTTAATAAATTTTTAAAAAGATTGTATACCAGGCAGGGGTAGAGCAGTGCCCCGGGTGATGGATTGTGCTGCCACTGGCTACAGTGGCCAGTGCAGGGCTGCTCTGAAGCCAGAGCCAGGAGCCTCTTCTAGGTCTGCCATGTGGCTGCAGGAACTCAAGACTTTGGGCTATCCTCCACTGCCTTCTCAGGCCACCGGCAGGGAGCTGGATGGGAAATGGAGCAGACAAGACAGAAACCCCAAGTAGCAGCTTACCACATATGCCACAGTGCCAGCCTTACCTCTTCCTTTTTTCTCCCTGCCAGGTTTGCTCAGTTAGACTGACTGACTGGTTATAGCATAGACAGTTGGCCATGGGGTCCTTACCTGTCATTGAGGCAGCAGTAGATGATAGGGTTGTACATGGTGGAGCTCATGGCCAGCCACATGATGGCCAGGTAGACCTGCTGGATAAACTTCTTCAGGTAGAGATCTGGGTTGATATAGGGCAGGAGGAAGAAGATATGGAAGGGCAGCCAGCAGATGGCAAAGGTGCATACCACGACGATCATCATTTTGACCACCTGGCAAAAATGAAATAGGTGAGTCCACTCACACATCCTTTTTTCAGAGCTTCTCTCCCTCCTCCCACCACTCACTGTCCAGTGTGACATGGGTTGGGGTTTGGGTTGTTACTGACTATAACCCCGTTCAAGGAGGATAAAGGCCATTTGCCACACGGTGCTAAACCACTTCTATATCAACAACTCTCAGAGTGCAGGCCTAGCAGCATCACTCATACTTTTGTTATGAAATTGCTAGGTGTGTAAGCTCCTATACCACTTTAGACCCCACCCTCAGAGTGTCTGATTCAGTAAATATAAATTCTGTTTGCCAAACCTTTCAGATGATCCTGACATACGCATGTGTTGTATGATCAATGTCTGGAGAAGCCAAGGGAGGCCACCCCAAGGAGCAAAGGTGACTGGGAGTTCAGGAGGCAAGGACTGAGGGTGAGTGAGCAGGCTCCTTAGTGCAGGAGCTGAGGGAAAGGGAGGAAGAGGGAAGACATTTGGACAGTGGTGGCAATGGAGCAACAAATGATTAAATAGCTCCCAATGTTGGGAATGTTTTTCTTTCTAATGCTATGACCTGAGTGCTGGTGTCCCACACTCATGTGCTGAGATCCCAGCCCCAAGATGATGGCACTGAGGTGGGGGGATTGGGGCCCCTGTGAGAGGCCCAGGAGCAACTCCTCACCTCTTCCTCCACGGGAGGACACAGCAGGAGGCAGGTAGACCTCAGCAGACACGCATCTGCCTTCCTGTTACCAGTTCTAAAAGGTACTGTGGTACAGCAGGCAAGATGGGTTAGGACAAGGGGTGATGTAACACTCTGGTTTTAAACACCCAGAAATCTCCAGTGAAGAACTGCATCTATCCACGCATACTCACTAGGAAGACTCACTATGCAAAGAAGCACCAAAGAGACTTCCTTTCGAAGATCTTGCAGATTTTGTTTGAGGGAAATAAATTTAGTAAGTGTATAAAAATATTATCTATTTGTCTTATACTTTTACCTAACAGACAACAGTGTTGCCATCATGTGTGTGTGCTTGGGGAATGTGTAAAACGGTCCCTGGTACCCTTCAACAACATCACCTTCCATTATCAAAACCAGAAACCGACATCAGATGGGTGCTGTGTGCTCATCCCCAACCTCCCTTGGAGGGCGGCCAGTCTTTCCCTGCGCTCTGCTCTTTAGGTGTGCAGTTCTGTGAAAGCATCACATACGGAGGAGGTGACCACGCCAGCACACTGCAGATGCAAAGCTACTCACTTGCTCCCTCTTAGACGACCGGTCCCCCACCCCAACACTCAACTCTTGAAAACCTCTTACCTGTTCTCCATCACTAATTTTTGTTTCATTTAACACTTTTAAAGTTTGAACCCTGTGAGTGTATTATTTTGTCAGATTTCAAATAAATAGTAAAAAGGACCAAAATTACTTCAATGCATGTGTTACATGTGCTTGCATATATGTCCTAATGGATGTCAGATTCTAATTGCTCCTAAGGTGGTTTGTGCCTGTGCAACCAGACACAGGAACACTGGGAAAGTTCCCTTCCTGCTCGTTCATTGTCCCCCAGACCTAGGGATGCAGGGTGTTCAACATCCCTGGGGCTCCCAGGCTGGCAGCCTCTCTGGCAGCCTTCCACCCGTGCTGGGGGTGCAGGGTTAGTGCTGCTTGTCCCTGGCTCACCTTGCGCTTGGCAGAGACTTGCTCGTGGTAACGGTCGGAGGAGTCGCCGGGAATCTCGCTGGCCCACAGTGTGATGCCCACCACAGTGTACGCATAGCCGATCACCAGCAGGGGCAGGAAGTAGATGAGCACAGTCACGCAGATGTGGTACCTGTAGCAAGGTGGACAGCAGAGGTAGGTGAAGGCCTGGCAGGTGCATTGCTCAGCATTTGCTGTTAATAAGTTTGGACTTTAAGGACACCTAGGGAGGCTTGCCACTTGCATAAGGTGGATAGGTAAGCTAGAGGAAGCAAATATCTTTCATTTATGTTTCTCTCTTCTGGACTTTTACCATGCTAGAGGTTCCTGTTCAGATTATAAAGAGAAGGAAAACAAGCGAGAGGAAATTGAATTTGTTATATGTCTGTGGGATTTCCAGTTGGTATTATTCAGTATCCCTTATCACACCATGCAGAAAGGACAGCAAGCTTTGATGAGCAGAATTGGAGAAAGAATGTCTTCAGTTATGTCTGTTGGACCATACTTCTGCTCTATTTTAGTGCAAAGATGTAAACAAGTGGCCCACTTAGACAGCGGTGGGTTAGCCACAGTTCATACTTTGTCACAAATAGATTCATGACCATCAGAGGGAAAAGACAGACTGATCCTGGAACAATCTGTGGAAGAAAGCCACAACACGGACGCAATGCTTACGCATGACCCTTCAGAACGCATCTTCAGATGGAAGCGGCTGGCTCTCTAAGTCGCACTTGGGGGAAAGATGCCAGCTGAGTCACATTGGACTGTGGCATGACACTGTTCAGATCTTGGAGCCAAACTTACCATACTCTTTGTAGGAGACCCAAATAAGATTGTTTTTTTTTTTTTTATGAGAAAATGTGTTTTTTCCTAGGTGATCCTTAGCTTGTCTAGTTCTAGCCCTTTTTCTGCTTGCAGGAGAGGGGCTCGGCATAGCTGCTGTAAGAGCTAACGTTGCTGTGGGTTTCTGTGCTCGTAGTAACATAGGAGATACGAGCTAGAACTAGTAACCAAGTTGTGTTGCGCATTTGTGAAGAGCACAGAATGAGGCATTTTATAGGCATCTTAACTGGTAATTGACTCCTCCAGTAAATGAGTAGGCACTATCATCCCATTTTCTTCATGAGGAACCCAAAGTTTAGAATTTCAGCAAACCGATTAAAATCCTAGCTGGTAAAGGCAGAAGATGGACTTAGCATGTTTGTGACCCCAAGACCAGCTTCTTGTCACTGGGGTACATTTACCTGGTTTTTCATCCTCTGCTTACATCCTATACTTATTCTCTGTGATAATTTTCTTCCAATAAGGAAAATCCCACTTATTCCCTTAATTTCTTTTTTATTCATACTCTGCTTGCATGCAGTCACTTGTTGTGAAGCCCCCAGGTTTGCCACTTATTTAGCCTTCCCTAATTACCAAGATTTACAACTAGAAGATACTCCAAGAATTCTCCAGTAAAACCACAGATGTAGCCAGGCAGAGGGCTGTGTGCAGACAGCCTGCCTCAGTCTCAGTGGGACTTCAGGTGCCCTGGAATGCCACCCCGGGCACCTCTGGGTTCTGCTACCAGGCAGTGTCTGTGCACCTTGTTTCCTGCATGATCATAGAATGGAGCCCCTCATCCCAGTGGTCACGGGGCTAATGATCGCAAGCAACTGTGGCTCCCACAGGCACAGGGCAACCTGAGAATGGCTGGATTGCACCGACCTCTCCCTGTCAGAGCAGCCCTGAGTCAGGTGGCCTGACACTTGATTAGTGAGCAAACATTAGCTCAGCCCTACCAGGCCCACTGCCTGGGGACATCAAGTGCCAACTACTGGCGCAGGGACGGGGTGGGAGGACACCAGTCAGGTGGCCAGTCAGCCTTCCTCTGGGCCAGGGCTCTCCACTCTTGAGTAGGCTTCCAGAAACCCAGGTGGGTTTGGGCAGCCACAGAGGGCTGCTTCCCATGCAGAGGGTCTCGCTGGGGCTCCTGACAGGAGCAGCTCCTGCACCCTTAGCCTGCTGCCTTCCAAACTGGCCTATCCCAAAGCTGCTCGCCGTGACTCCCGACTCCATCTTGAGAAAGCTGCTTGACACAGCCTGACACAGGGCATGCTGCCCGCCCCTGCCTATGTGGAAAAAGAAATATACCTTTGCAACAGCAGTTGTGTTCTGATCTGTTGGCCTCACCATCGCTGAATGCGGTGCAGTCTCAATTCTAAAACAATATACCCCTTGGGTAATTATGAGTCAGGTCGTTAGGAAAATGCTTAGATGAATCAGTAAAACATCATTCATTAGCTTTTAGAAAATATTTTCTTTCTCAAAGGACAGTTATTTATTTGAAAACAACATAGAGACTTACTTCTAGTTAAGGATAATATAGTTAGAGCGTTGACCTTTCTAGGCTGTGATGGGGATAATTAAGATTAATTATCCCAATTAAATAATTATGCATTAATATATATTACACAATTTAATATAAAACTTCTGTTCCTAAGTAGAAACAAGAATTGAAAACCTGCATTCAGACAGACATGGTACACCCACATTATCTGCAGTGGCTACAAGACGAGAAAATCCAGGTGAATGGGTAAACAGATGTCACTTAGCTGTGCAGTGGAATAATACTTAGCCCTAAAAAGAATGAAGTTCTGCACTCAGACTACTGTAAAGCTACATACCGTTTGACCCAGCAATAGCACTTCTAGAAATATATCCAAAAGGCCTGTTACATGAGAAAGCAACATGCACTCTAATGTTCATAGCAGCACAATCAATAATCGCAAAAACATGGAAGCAACTAAAATGCCCATCAACAGAAGACTGGAGAAAGAAACTATGGTTTGGCTCGGCACGGTGGCCGAGTGGCTACAGTCCTCACCTTGCACACACCGGGATCCCATATGGGCACCGGTTCTAACCCTGGCAGCCCCTCTCACATCCAGCTCCCTGCTTGTGGCCTGGGAAAGCAGTCAAGGACGGCCCAAAGCCTTGGGACCCTGCACCCACGTGGGAGACCTGGAGGAAGTTCCTGGCTCCTGGCTTTGGATCAGCGCAGCACCAGCCATTGCAGTCATTTGGGGAGTGAATCCTCGGACAGAAGATCTTCCTGTCTGTCTCTCCTCCTCTCTGCACGTCTGACTTTCCAATAAAAAAAAAAAAAATGCATTTCTTTGTGGCCAAATGCTAAGGGAAATGAGCCAATCCCAAAAGGTCAGATATCATATGTTTGCCTTACTATAAGATAAAACAATGTCAAATCTAAAAATAGCCCTGTAAATTGTATATGATTGCACCTTCAAACTGTACTACACACAATCAGACATTGTGATGTAGCCTATGAATCAATAATCAATGAGAGACAGATTGCATATGATCACCTGAGAGTGTTAATACATCCCTTTAATCACTGTTAGTACTACTGTTCAGGGGTAATGATGTTCTAAGTCCGTACTGTTCTCCCATTTGAACCACATGGTCATACACTAGCACTAATTTCTACAGGAAGATACTGGACACTCTTGTGCCACCCTACCATCTCACCGATACCCCTGCTACTAGTTTGACAACACCATGGAGATGAAGGTTCACTATTTCATTTTACTTAATTTTTTTCCTTCTTTTTACCCTCTCAACCCAAGGGGGACTGTACCCAAGGGAAGGTATTATGGAAGTGCAGCGGGAATATGTCCATAGGCAGAAGCAGAGAGAAGTGTATCCCTGTACTTGCAATACAAGGATGGACTCACAGTGAACAACAGAAAAGTCCATACAATGGCAGTATGATGGACTTCTGAGGGCACTTGGAAGACACCTAGTGAAAAACTGGTGATCCATGTGCAAGTTCAAGGTAGGAGTACACACTCCCAGACTTGGTAGCACATCGCAATTACAGGAGAAGCCACCAAAACCTCCAGCATATAGTGCCTACTCTACAGCTGTGATTGGAATCGGCCATACACCAGGACTTAGAAACTTCTCAGGCAATGCTCTCAGGCTGCTAGGCTGAGAATCCCTGGTGTTGTCTGCTGCTGGTGGCAGCTGGGACTGGTGCAAATGCACCTTAAGCTGAGTGCAAATTTGTGGCCCTGTGGCTCTCACTGCTTCTTAACTGCTCACAAGCAGCAAGCTGAGCCAACCTCCTGGGATGGCCCTACAAGCATGAGGAGGGCACCAGCCGGCCTTTCCCCAGAGTCCTCTGTGTGTGAGGAATTGGGGGCCACCCCTTATTGCACGCATGCTGAGCAGCCCGATGCTGCTGCTCTTTGTCAGGCACGCTCTCGGAGCTTGGTGCTGGGCACTTGGTTTGTTACTTGCTGGAAGAAACTGCATTCTTAGCAGATTATTGTGGTGCCTTTGTTTGTGAAAGAAAGTGGCATCCATGGACTTTGTGGTTCGTTTTCACAGCTAGACTTCAGAGTCAAATCCCAAAGTCCTTTGCAGTTCTCTTGGAGTCAGGGAAAAATCATAACCTATTTGTTGATACATTATCAAGCATTTCTTCAGCACTTACTATAACACTCCAGTCTTTGGTCTGTGTCCCAGGAGCTCGCAGTCTGCAGGGGACCCAGAGAGGCACCAAAGAATGTAGCACAAGGAGCAAGTGGCCCCCTCTTTGAGAGCGAGTAGAGCCACTGTGGAGGGCTGTGAGATACCACTGCAGATACTCTACAACACTGAACCTTTCAAAGTACCCCTCTAGTGCTTTGTTACCAAGCGCATGGGGCAGGGGTTGTGCAAATACAAAAGTGAGACACTCAACCAAAGTGGTCAGGTAAGCCATGCTGGAAGAGGAGCAGCTTGGCTAAGCCCCAAAACACAAGCAAGAGGCAGTCAGGCCCTGCAGGGTGAGGGCACTGCTACAGGAAGAAGAAATGCATGCCTGTATTTAGGGACAAGCCCAGGGCGGGCGAGAGGCTGAGGGCTTGTAGGAGGATGTTGGTGGGAACTCGTTCTGGTCTTGGATGTCAGAGATCCAGGGCAGACGCAGGGTTAGCGGCAAGGTCAGTGAAGGCTGGCCTCGGTGGCCGATGATGGGGAGCAAGGCAGTGGAGGCAGTAAAGTAGTCTCCGTTCTTCCAACACTTGCCTATGAAAGGGAAGGGAGAGGGCAGCAGCTAAACAGGGGCCAATGGTCAAAGAGAACATC